TTTTTTCATATTCATACATCACGATGTCGAGATAATTAATAGAGGGTTTTTCAACATTAAAACAACCTTTGCCTGTGGACTTTTTAGGTGCATCTTTAATTCTACATTTTAAGTTGCAACTTTATATAAACTTTTTCTTTTTTTTTTGGGGTGGGGGCTGGAGAGGGAGGGAGGGTAATTCAAGGGGAAAGACATGCCCTTACCCATTTTTTAAATAGTTTAAGAGTTATTTTTTAAAGATATTAAAGGGTACATGCCCCTACCCATTTTTAAATAGTTTAAGAGTTATTTTTTAAAGATATTAATGGCGTAGATTTTTTAGGTGCATCCTTAATTCTACATTTTAAGTTGCAACTTTATATATACTTTTCTTTTTTTAGGGGGGGGGGGGGAGGGAGGGTAATTCAAGGGGAAAGACATGCCCTTACCCATTTTTAAATAGTTTAAGAGTTATTTTTTAAAGATATTAATGGGGTGGTATCAGTGATAACAAAAACCACAACATGGTGACTAGGGTGTGAGGGTGTTACCACCACGACCCCAGCTCATTTTTCTAATATCATGGGATTGAGAAACACATGCCCACTCATTTCCCTTGGTAATATAAGTTTATGTAAATTTTTATACAAATGAATTTCTTATAGTCCGTCCTTCCTGAGATACGGTGCATGTGAGATAAAGCTGGAATAGAGAGTTTGGAATTCTTGGTACTGAAGGGAGAAAGATTTGATTCAATATGGTTAGTTATCGTCATGTAAAGAGGCTGATAGACAGATATTAAGGGAGAGAAAGTTCCCTTAAGGTGGGTTTAGTTGGAGAGAGAGATTTTTAGTTTAGGGAAAGCTTTCTATGTTACCTTACAATATAGAAGTTTTATTTTCCCTTATCCAATCGTTCATTTTTTTATGAAGGGCTAAGATTGTCCCAATCAAATGTCACGTCTCTACACGATGTTATTTTTAATTTTTTTTCTATAAACAGTTTTGATACCAAATTTTGGACGTCCATTCATATATTAAATGCGCATTAACAAAAAATATAAAAAACATATTTTCAATAAAATAAAACGACCAAAATACCTCTGAAAATTTCAAGGGGTATTTTGGTTATTATTTTTTATCAAAAAATCATTTTTAATATTTTTTATAGCTGCGCTCCAATGAGAAGATGGCACGTACCAACTTTCATATTCAAAAATATTGTATTAAAAAAACTAAAAATAAAATATTTTGAAACGTCGGATCTAAGATCAAACGGTGAGTGGCTCTCTTGATAAAAAATGAACGGCTGGATGGTAGGGGGAACATCGAAAGCTTTCCTTTTAGTTTAAAGGTAGAGACTCCCGTACAAATAAGAAAAATGATACATAAGATATTCTCAAGTACCTATCGAAATTTTTGTTATATTTTTCAATATAAGATGAAGAAATTGTATGATAAGACCTTTATTAATTGAAAATACGAGGATATTGGAAAAATACTATACAATAGTTATAATACACATAATTATATTTGAAAGGTGCAGTTTAGTTTGTATACAGATGCATCCGTAGGTGTAGAGATAAGGTGCACCTTCAAATTTTATCATGGTATATAATTTTGATGTAAAATGTTCTTAGGATTATCTCAAAATCTAGTTTTATATCTAATTATAAAATTTTAAATTTCAATAATAGTTAAAATCAAGTAGATCTATAAACATATAAAAATCTTGAAAACGGACGGTGTAGATAATATGTTGTAAAATGCATTATTTCTGAGACTTAAAACCTTTTTATTTTTCATGGTCATACATCTCGATGTCGAGATGATCAATCAAAGGGTTTTTCAACATTAAAACTACCTTTTCCGATGGATTTTTGAGGTGCATCCGTAGTTCTACATTATAAGATTGCATCCTCATATAAACTTTTTCAATATAATTTTGATGTAAAATATTATTAGGATTATCTCAAAATCTATTTTTATATCTAATTATAAAATTTTAAATTTCAAACATGGTTAAAATCAAGTAGGTCTATAATAAACATATGAAAATCTTGAAAATGGACGGTGTAGATAGTATGTTTTAAAATGCACTATTTCTGAGACTTAAAATCTTTTTATTTTTCATAGTGATACATCTTGATGTCGAGATGAACAATCAAAGGGTTTTTCAATATTAAAACTACATTTTTCCAATGGATTTTTGAGGGGCATCCGTAGTTCTACATTATTAGGTAGCATCCTTATTGTAAACTTTTTCCATATTTGAATGATAATCACTTAATATTTAGTAATTGATTTTCCTAATTGAATACATATAAGTATACAATAGTTATAATACAGATAATTTTATTTGAATGATAATCATTTAATATTAAGTAATTTTATTTGATTAACATATATACTCATTGGGAGAATATGAGGTCAGTAAATGCCCAATAGTTCGGACTGAAATTGGGCCGATCAAATGACCACAATTGTATTTGAATGCTAATCACTTAATATTTAGTAATTGATTTTCCTAATTGAATACATTAAGTATACAATAGTTATAATACAATAAAAAATTATATTTGAATGAGAATCACTTAATATTTAGTAATTTTATATGATTAACATATATACTTATTGGGTGAGTATGAGGTCAGTAAATGTCCAATGGATCAGATTGAATCTAGGTCGATTTAATGGTCACGCTTGTATTTCGTATTTGAATTTTAATTTATTTATTTTTATACAAATCCAACTTACTTGAAATTTGGAATCTGTATTTTTAAAAAATAAGTGAATCTGATAAAAATATTTAAAAAATTAATTCATAAAAGTTAAATGGATCAAAATACCTTTGAACACTTTCAAGGTTATTTTGGTCTATTTAATTTTGACAAATAATTTATTGTTAGGTACACATCGATGAGAAGAGTGAATGGCCTGAATTTCATGTGATTTGGGTTGAAAAAAAATTTAAAATTAAAATACAAAATACCGACATGTCTGCCAGATCAGTATAAAATCAATCTGAACCATTGGGTTTACATTGTTCCATCAGCCTACAGGTTAACAAAATCTTTTCCCACATTAATTATTTATTATTAATAATTTTATGTATTAAAAATCGTATTCACATATGATAAAGAGAGACGCAAACCTAAAAATGTCCCAATAATAAAAGATTTAAAACTAACACTATCGCCTTTTTTAAACATACCAATTTTTGTATTTTTATACTCTCTCCTCTTTCAGTGTCGCATAGTAATTATTTATTATAATTTCTATTTTTTAGAAATAGAGATGCACTAGGATGTTGATCATGGTTCTGCGAAATCCAAATCCAAATTCAAATTCTCTCTTAACATGCACGCGCTCTCTCTCTCTCTTGACACTCTCTCTCCTTAACACAACACGCTCTCTGTCTCTCTCTTGACACTCTCTCTCCTTAACACACACGCTCTCTCTCTCTCTCTTGTACTCTCTCTCTCTCTCTCTTGAACTCTCTCTCTCTCTCTTGAACACTCTCTCTCCCTTAACACAACACGCTCTCTCTCTCTCTCCCTTAACACAACACGCACTATCTTCGTAGTCGATCGCATCCTGAATAAAATAAAAGATAAGATAACTATGATCAAGAAACCGTACGACTTTTTTATTGATTTTTGTTGTTTTGGTTTTATTATCAAGAAACCTTACGAGTTCATAAAAAGTATGTATATACATAGAAGGTCTTACATATTACAGATTCACAGAAAACCTAAGCAATAGTAAAAAGAGATACTTCATCTTAGAGAGAGAAAACCAAAGCAATAGTTAAAGAGAGAGAGGGCATAAGAGAATCTGCATTCCTCAAAGGCTCTTTTTAAGGTAGGTTAATCTTAAAAACCCCAAGGTAGGTTAATCTTAAAAAACCCACGGATTAGTAGACGAAATTTGAATATCGGTTTTTTGTTTTTATGTCTTATGCCATTTTTATTTCCCTTTCTTTTCCTTTTTTTTTTAATCTGCAGTTAATTTTTTTAAATGACCAAATTTCCCTTGTTTAGATTTTCAAAATCCATTTTAAACTTCCAAATGTTCAGCATTTGATTAATTGCTTTTTAGGTTCCATAACATTTTATATTTTATATATTCAAATATTGTAAAAGAAAATTAATGTCGTAACAATTTTATTTACCCAAAAGAAAGTGTCCTGACAATTTTGGGATTTCAAGATCCAAAATTTATTTGACAATTGAAAGTTCAGATTTGAAAATCCAAAAATTGCATTTAGCCTCTTAGCAATTTCGGATTTTAAAAAATCATAATTCATTTTAAAATGAATTTTTTTATTTTTAAAGTTGCATTTTAGACAATGACCTACTAACGGAAGAACTAAATAATTGAAAGTATGGTTTTAAGATGGAATCCTCAAACCAAAAGGAAATTTAAAAAAAAAAAACTTGGTCCTAGACACATCAGACAATACTCTACTATGAATTTTAAAATAGCTCAAAATTAATAACGCATTACGCCCATAATTTCCTCTAATTTACACATAGTGACTAGATATAGAGTTCTCCACTCAAAACTCCATTCTCAATTTATAACAATAAATAAAAATGGTCTTTGTGTATAATAAATCAAACCACTGTTCATAAGTTGAATAAGAACTTTTGGACTGCTAGATGCCAGGCTTGGATTCTGGAAATTGGGGCAATGATCTATATCAAGGTAGTTTGAGTACAAAAAGTTTCAATAAACAAACAGAACGCAAATTGACGACCACCAAATTTTGATAAAACCAGAGGAAAAAGGCAGAACAATATCATCCATTACATTTATCTCTGGGCTTTCCCAATGAGTGCGTGTGTGATTTGAGATATATATATATATATATATATATATTATTATTATTATTATTATTATTATTATTTTATTCTATCATAAGGCCTCTCAAATTCAGTCTCACAACCAGGTCAGATGTCACACCAGTATATCAAAACCAGTTTACACAACCTGGGAATCCACAATCTGCTGCAAGAATTAAATAGTCTTTATGTACTATAAGTCATAAATCAATGCCTTCAAATTGTTGATCCTTATTTACAGGAAGAATGCCAAAGAATATCTACTCAACTATGAACACATCTCTACCCAAATACAAGATTGAAGTAGATTCACAAAACTGAATGGTCAAAAGTGAGTGAAGAAATGGCCTTGTTGAATGATGGCTCAAATTGCATTCGCAGGATAACGAACTGGGATCAACAAAAGCTGAATAAAGCCACCAGAGAACACTGAATGACAATGGTGTTTATATCAACATTTTTATGCATTGAGATGGAAAAAGCCAGGACAATAATGGAGATAAATGCTACTCATCTGCTATCATTGGATATATACAGCTTAGACGCTGGCTTTGTCACACTTCTATCTGCAAGAACATTATCCATGATTAATACAAATATAGTTTTTAGGATATTTCATATGCTTGTGCCTTTGTGTATGGATGAGCATGTGTGTGTGTGGAAAACATTATGTTCGCCTATAGGACAATGTAATCCTTTTCCTATGTGTATGTGTGTGTGTATGAGTGAAGGAGAGAGAGGCAAGGAGTTTCATAAAGAAGATGTAAACTAGAATTGATCTATTTATTTTTACATACATAACATATGCTGGAAGGTTCAATCATTAATTATGAAATCTTCTAGTACTTCACCCGACAAACAAAGTACTAAAAAACACATCTACCAAGTATGCAATATCAAAAGAAGCAAAAGTTCTGTCCCCAAGCCCCTATTCTTGTTGAATTTGATGGTTCTAAGTTAATTGTTCAAGACGGCCAGTGCTACCAAAACTAGTGGAAAACCTCATGATTATTCCAGTTTCATGCAAAGCTTCCAAAGGAGAACTACTTCCAATAAAAATATGCCCGATATCCATCTTTTCAGGAATTTGGAAAGAGAGGAAACAAGTTCCTTAACATTAGTTTATTCTAATTGCATGCAGCTTATGGATCCTGCTATCATAAAGTCCATGCATTGCACGGGCATAGAGGAGAAAAAATCTTAAATACCATTGTTAGTCCCGTTTTTGAGGATTCTTGTTTTCATCAAAACCTTGAAAGTTCTTATTAACAAGCATGCTACGAAATCACATTTTTTATAGGATCTCTTTGAATGTTATCTAGAAAAGTTTTCTGAATTTGGAGGATAGATATCCGATGGACCCATAAATCCTAGTTTGGCAAGAGCAGCTATACACCAAGAGATAGAAAGAGGCTGGAGGTTTCTAAGAAATGGGATTGTCTTGTGCAACCCACACAATATAATTAGAGGGTAGTGTAAATTAGTAAATCTTTAATAATGTGAACCCTTAGCCATAAAAGATACTATAACCTTAGTGTTAAAAGAATGTTGTCTTAGCTGTAGAAAGGTGTAGAGTATCTACAATATTGCATGTGAGATGATCCACATGTACATTAGAAGAACAAAGTTATGCATAACAAAAACATACAAAAAGGCATTAATTCTAATGTAAGCATCATGTACAAAATGATTGAAACAGCAAGACACAAAACTATGAGTATGGTACTCACGAAATCCAAGCCCCCACTGGATCTTCCAAACACATAATGGAAGAGTTACATGTATCCCGAAAATCATGAACATGTGAAAAGCATATATAAGCATAGAAATATTGTCACATAAGCACACAATTTCATATAGACATGCAAAGAAGGACAAACAAACCAGCACAAGTAATGACAAGCATACAAGACTCTGAAGACAAGGAGATGTCACTAAAACTGAAATCCAGAAGAACTAACCTTATTAAGGAGAGAATTAACAAAACGATCTTCAAACTATTCAGATCATGAATTACTGCCACCTTCATTATTGAGCGCTGCATCTAGCATATCCACACTAGCTGCCTCAGATGAACCCTCAAACACAATATTATTCTGAAAGGGCGCCATATACAGCACTTTTAGGTCATTCTCTTGTACCAATTCATTGGTGGAAACCATCTCAGTAGTAACTTGCCCCAGGTTCTTAAGAGGTGAGTTCTCACCAGTCCCCATTGAGCATGACTGAGCCCCACTAGTGCATGCTCGCATATCGGGACTAATGTCTTGAATTTTCAGGTTTTGCATGTGAAATTGGCTATGCTTATCGAAATAACCAAAACCTGAATGGGAACTCCTCAAGGCAATGTCATTGTCCCTTGCGTTCCCCAAATGATATCTTCTCACAGTATTACATGACTGCAAGAAACCACCAGCTAAGTCCATGGTACAATTCTTTATGTCAGTAACAGAAGGAAGTAGCTATTATTACCGTGTAGTCATCTACTTAGCAATCTTTCCTGCCTCTTAATATAATTCGAAAGTATAAGAGTAAGTAATGAAATTTACCTTTATAATATGGTAGCATTGATTGAATGTCACATGGTTCTAAAGAGGCCATGTTGAGGAAGTTGCTTATTGTATGGACAGGAGCCATCGATGGAGAAATCAATGAACCTGTCATTAGTTGTTCCTTTCCCATTGAGACTCCAAGACTTGCTGGTAGACGAGAAACCATATTCGTAGAAGTATTTGTATGTCCTTTTCTGTTGACAACTCTTCTTTCAGATGCCATGGGATTCATTTGAGAAGCAAATACTTGAGCATCGAGATCTGGTGTTTCAGCAATAACGGAGCCATGTCTCTCTTTTGGAAGGTTTCCCACATAAATTGGGGCAGAATCACCTTGAGGAGCTTCATCCTTTATTTCTGTCCTCAAGTTTTTGCGGTATTTCTGTAATAAGATAGTTGTCATTGTTAGCATAAAACAAATAAAATGAAAAGAAAGTTATAAATTGGAAACAAGGAAAAAATCCACAATTATTCAAATGGGCAATAAAATCAAAATCTAACCAATTCAACTCAAATAGACCATGTTTGAGTTTTATGAAAAAAATAAAATGTATTCCATGTCATATTTTGCAAAATCACTTTATAAATTTCTTTGAAACTATTTTTCTTTGTTCAAAGATTTGCCAAGTCAACTTGGGACATGGAGTGACAAGTGAGCTCAAAACTAGTCATCAAGACTAACATGGACCATAGCAAATTTGCTCTTCCAAAGCTCATATTTCTCATTTCATCTCCTTCTCAATCACCATGATGCCAGAGACTTACCATCACTGGATAGGACATTCTCTTGTTTGAAGATGCTATATTATGACTCCACAGGCTACCATCATCTAAAAGGATACATAGATGCTCAAGGAATTTGTTTTATTGGTAATGATGTTTCAGGATGTATTTTATGTTCTTCACTTTGTATACATACAAAACAGACAACAACTATAACTAACTCGGTTGAAAAAAGTCATCATTATGACTAGCCTCTTGTTCAGCCATGACCACCATTACAGGCCTTGCACTGTATCAGACCCAACAAATGCCTCTAAACCCCACCACTATAATCACGAGAATTGTATGAAGCTGAAAAATACAGGTAATTAGTACACTCTCTCCCTCCTTGACCTGAAGGATCCAAAGCCTCACATCATCTAATTTACCAACAACTGCATGGAATTCAAACTTCAGGTTCATTGCTTCCACAAATTCGGCTATTCTCTCCCTTGTTTCTTGAAGTTCATGTTTTGATTCCCCATTTGCTGTGATCCTAAAATGGCTTGGTCGGTTGGGCCTAGAACCCAAGCTCTAAAACTAACCAGGCCATTGAAGACCTTGCTTTATGTCAAAGTCTATTATGTATACTCATTACTTCCCTTTTGAAAGCTCGCAATATCATCTCATTTGTAATTTATTTGGATGAATTATGGAATTGGGTTCATCTTGTTGAGAAGCCTAAAGCCAATGGATGAATCATCCTCTAAGAAATCAGATTGCAGAGGAGAGAGACGGAATATATTGGGCCGGAGTTTGAAGACTCTGAGAGTAAGAGCCGCTGTGAAACGGGCCCCAACCCTATGAATCGAGTTGCTCTCTGGTGAAGTAAAGCTCCCCCAATCTAGAAATAAACTAACTAATGAGAGTGAAGTTCTTCGAAGTGATCGCGTTTGTACATGAAAACAGGAAGCCCACTGGCTCCAGACCCTGTTCACTACATGGAGCTTCTTCAGGTTGGAAAGGGACAGAGATACCTTCTCCTATGTCCTTCTCTGGGGGCTTGTTCTCTTCTTATGAGACAAGCTCTCTGTTCTTGAAGAACTCAAGGTTGGCTTTGATTTCTTCAATTCTGTACTGGTTCCAACATTCTTATTATCTCCCTTCTCTGACACCTATGTGACAATAGACGCAAGCCAAGCACTGGTATTTGCTAATGGAAGAGGAGAGAGAGTCGACTCAAGTGGAGTATAAACCCCTTCTTCTTTAATGAAATGGGGAGAAAAATGAAACAGGAGGATCAAAACCAGGGCTCAAACCCATTGATTCAGGCTTTACAGTCTCAGAGAACTAGAAATCACCATGACCCAATTGGTTGAAAAACAGTGTGTCATGGAAATGGGTTTCAAGTTGTAATTAGCACCATATCTTGCAAATTTCAAATGAAATTGAATTGATGCTAAATTTCTATGAAGTTCATAACAAAATTTGCAAATAAAAGCACTACATAAGGCAAATGAAGTAATAAAATATCCATAAATCTTTCCGGAAAACAAAAACCTACCTGCTAGTATTGAACGGTACCTGCTTTCCCAATATAAATCCTTGGATCTAAATTTCCTCAATATTTATTGTGTATGATAAGCATTAGCATACCGACAGCAGTACGTACTACTTCTGAAGTTTATATCATAAACAAATTACTTACCTTTTTTTTTATATATCATAAACAAATTAAAACATTCTTTATATTTTTGCCAAATTTTAAAGATTTTTCCAAAAGGAAGAACGCGTTGAGCTGACTCAGTTTTGCTAATAACCAAGTCCCAATTTTCAACTTTTACTTCAATGAAAGCAGATCAAGTCACAAGAGCTACCTTGAGAAGTTTACGGATTCATGTCTCACTAAACATCCATGCCAGGACCATTAATCATATAAAAAGTTTAGTAACTTAAACAGATGTGAAAGAATGAAGTCTATATATATATATATATATATATATAATAGAAGAGCTATGCAATAGTCAAGTACCAAGCAAACATAGAAGAATGTCTGCTTCTTGTTGAATGCAATCCAAATAAGTTTGATTCTGAAATCCAATAACAGTTATTTGCTTGCAAAAGTTCACCTGTACAATAACATTCCGACATTCCGTTAAATAAAGAAGTTCACTTATAGAACAAGTATCATCCATAATTCCTGAAGCCATAAGCAACAAGGAGCAGAAGTTACACAGAAAATGGAAGCACAATCCAACAAGCCAGCAATGCTGATCAACTTTGAAAGTACAAAGATTCAGCTTCATTTCCTTGCTTTCACAAAAAACAGAAACCACTATGCTTCCAGATCGCAAGAAAGGGTTGTAATTAATTAATATAATGCACTGCAAGCCCCCATAACTGAGTTTTTGATGATATCAATTTACAGACAAATAGCAATCTCCATCAATACTTGGAATTGAGTTGATGCTAAATTTCTATGAAGTCCATAGAAAAATTTGCAAATAAAAACACTAAAAATGGCAAAATGAAGCAATAAAATATCAATAAATCATTTAGGCAAACAAAAACCTACCTGCAAGTGACTAGCAATGCTTCCTTTGCATAACCCTGGAACATTCATTAGCTCTTCTATTTTCGTGGGAATAACTTCTGCAAAAATATGGGGTAAAAAAAAGATCTTAGTTAGAATAAAATGGGGATAGATAGTTCTCATGGGAAGGAACAAAGTGAGCGTGACATGACATATATCTTACTAGAGTGCATGTAGTCTTACCTTCATGGTTATGGGCTAATTTGTTTATGGCATCCAAAAATATTTGATGGAGCTCACTAGTCCAAACTATTCTTGGTTTCTTAGGAGTACAAGAAGCAGAAGTACATCTAGAATCATTTTCCTCCTTCCCCTTGTCCTTTCTTTTGTTTCCCTTTTTGTCATTCCCCTTGTTCAGCGATGTTGCATGTAGAAGACCATTTGATGCTTCATGATGTCCAAGGCTATCTTCTACGTTCCTGGAATGTACATTTTCAAGACCATTCAATAATCCATGGTGTCCACCACAATCTTCTGTACTCATAATTTTAACAACTTCCTTCGATCCATTATTTTTCTTTGTAATCTTGTTCCTAATCACATGCTGCCATATGGTCTTCAATTGCCCCTTTCTTACAGGCTTTATAAGGAAGTCACAGGCCCCATTCTCTATTCCTTTCATTACAATGTCTTTTTCACTATCAACTGATATCACTGCATTACAAACAAGTATATAAATTGTTAAGCTATAGTCCATGTGAAAATAGAGACACCATAAAGTATTAGGTTTGTAAAGTTAGAATTGAAAGCTATTTAAACAGGGACAACACAATTTTAAGCAGGAATTGAAGAGGAGAACTGGTGAGACATATGACACTCCAAACAGTTAATGTTGGTTTTGTAGCCTGGAAATCAAATCTTATTTTGAAAAGGCACTTACTGATGAAAGGCAAGTCCATTTCCATTCTAACTTGATTGAGAAGCTCTAACCCATCCATATCAGGCAAATGCACATTACACAAAACCACGTCAAATCGGCCATTTCCATCTCGAATCTTATTGAGAGCACCAGTTGCCTCAGAGCAAGTCACAACTGAATGAGCAATGCATGAAGCAAATCAAAAAGCAAGAAAAGAAGCCATAATACAAGCACCACACAAGTTTCAATATGTACAATGGATAAGTTAGGACTTGTATTGCTGGATACTTTAACACGAATGTGCAAAAACTCCACTGTGGCTTGGCTGGGTCCTGGCCTCTGCTACTTGTATTGCTGGACACTTGACACCAATATGCAAAAACTCCACTGTGGCTCGGGACCTGGCCCCTGCCCATGCCAAGTATCTTCGGCAAGTCCAAGTGGACTCACCCGAGCTGGGCTCAAAATTGCAAAAGAAAAAGTCTAAAAATTTGTAAAAAATATATGTATATGTATAATAGACAACCTTAAAAGTATACAGAAAATAGAAAAATATACGTAGAAGATGGAAGGAATGTTGGGACATTGATTTGTAGCTAGAAACAATTCAAAAAAATTCATAAAAAGGGAAAAATAGAAAAGCAGAGCACATCATAAGAAAAATTAGCAAATCATCATTAAAAACATCAACATTAAATAGGAACATATTTTTACACTATTTATTAGTCATGTAGTAAAAAAATAATTAATTTTTTGGAACCTTTTTAATAATCCCAATTTCAGCATTATAACTTGCCTCAGCAGGTGGCCAAGGCCGAGTTACTTGACAGAGTGCGTGTTGACTCGGTTGAGTTTTTTAACAATTGGTCAACATTGATTAGTATAATCCTCAAACACCCATCCAAATCTAGGGCATGCCTCCTATATCAATGGCTCATCATCAAAAAACTTAGGGTTTGATAGATTTAGTTATGATCTTTAACCGTCCTTACTCCATACAATGCTCAAATTCTTTCTAAAGAGTTTGAAAAAATAATACCATATCACTTGCGTACATTGTTCGAAAAGGCGGACAGCCTAGTTTGTTTTAGGAAAATAAACATTGTTCCAAAAGGCGGACTGCCTAGAATCTAATTAGAGCCCTTTTAGAGAGATAGAAACCTCAAAAAAAATAAAAAAGCTAGATTTTAATTTTTTACACAAGATTTAACCTTGAAATAATTTTTTATTCTACTAGGCCACCCAGGTTTTGAGTATTGACAGAGATAATTACTAGAAAAAACTCCCCAAAAGGGAAAAAGCCCTGAATTACAATTTATTTTTTGTTGTGTCTAAAAATAAAACAGAAGAAATATGTTTCCAAGGTGTCTAGTTAATCAAATTTGTGGGAAAATAACATAAAAAATTTCCGGAAACGAACACGCAAAGAAACTGTACCCATTCAATAAATCCATGACAGAGTTTTTCTTTATCTGTTTATTTTTTTAATTAATTCTGCAAGATTGTTGTTGTACCTTTCCTAAGTTATATAAATCACCACACGGTACTTAAACCTCAAAAAGTTGTCAAGATAAGGAACAAGAATCCCCATAATCTAAAGTCCTTATGTTAAGGAATAAGAATCTCCATATTTCCCCATAAACCATAGACCCAACCAGAAAATCAACACTACGAGTCATATAAAAAAATCATAGAGAATTTTACTAAAAGAATCAAATCCCATGTAAACAATCTAACTGTAATGACCACAAAATTAGCCAAGATTCTTACCTTCATATTTGCAGGATTGGAGCAATTCCTCCATAACTTTGAGGCAGGCATGATCATCATCAACTACCAAAACTCTGAGACCTTCAGGGAAGCTACTTGGATACCCCAATTCCTCTATCAAAGTTTTCGCCATATGTGTTAATTTATCACAAGGGGTATTGAAACCAGGCCTCTGATAATTTACTGAGCACAAAATTTATGTAGAAGAAATCGCTGAATGGGAAAAGAGGATTGCTAATTTTTGTGGTTCTGGTATTCTCAGGAGAAAAGACGCGCGGATAATCAGAGGGAAAGAGAGATGGTGTTTTAACATGAGAGGGCACTTTCCTTCAGAAGTTTTGTAGAGAGAGAATCCTTCCTATTTCTTGACTACGAGTTTTAGAGAGAGAGAGAGCGCAGAGAGGGTCTTTTGAAAGGGTGGCTCTCTCGCTTTCGCGCCAAAATAGGCGCGAAAGGATAAACGTTTAAATTGGAGAATGCGATAAATCCCCGAAAGGATAAACATTTAAATCGGAGAACGCGATAAATCCCCCTAAGGATAAACGTTTAAATGAGTGCAGTTATCATACGGATGGATCAGTAGGTGCAGAGGTAAGGT